TTCACGACTGTCTTGGTGTGTTTGGACCATGATAGTTTGTTGGTGATGTCGACACCAAGGAACTTGAAGCTCTCAACCTGCTCCACTACAGCCCCGTCGATGAGAATGGGGGCGTGCTCAGTCCTCTTATTTTCCTGTAGTCCACAATCATCTCCTTTGTCTTGGTCACATTGAGGGAGAGGTTGTTATCCTGGCACCACACGGCCAGGTCTCTGACCTCCTCCCTATAGGCTGTCTCATCGTTGAAGGCGATCAGGCCTACCACTGTTATGTCGTCGGCAAACTTAATGGTGTTGGAGTCGTGCTTGGGTGAACAGGGAGTACAGGAGGGGACTGAGCACGCACCCGTGAGGGGCCCCCGTGTTAAGGATCAGCGTGGCAGATGTGTTGTTACCTACCCTTACCACCTGGAGGCGGCCCGTCAGGAAGTCCAGGATCCAGTTGCAGAGGGAGGTGTTTAGTCCCAGGGTCCTTAGCTTAGTGATGAGCTTTGGTGGCACTATGGTGTTGAACGCTGAGCTGTACTCAATGAATAGCATTCTCACGTAGGTGTTCCTCTTGTCCAGGTGGGAAAGGGCAGTGTGGAGCGCAATAGAGATTGCATCATCTGTGGATCTGTTCGGGCGGTATGCAAATTGGAGTGGGTCTAGGGCAGGGTTCTTCAATTCCGGTCCTGGAGGGCCGAAACACCTCTGTTTTTCATCCTCTCCTTCTAATCAGACGCTAATTCAGACCTGGGACACCAGGTGAGTGCAATTAACTACCAGGTAGAAATAAAAAACAGAAGTGTTTTGGCCCTCCAGGACCGGAATTGAAGAACCCTGGTCTAGGGTTTCTGGGATAATGGTGTTGATGCGAACCATGACAAGCCTTTCAAAGCACTTCATGGCTACAGATGTGAGTGCTAAGGGTCGGTAGTCATTTAGGCAGGTTACCTTAGTGTGCTTGGGCACAGGGACTATGGTGGTTTGCTTGAAACATGTTGGTATTACAGACTCAGTCAGGGACAGGTTGAAAATGTCAGTGAAGACATTTGCCAGTTGGTCAGCGCATGCTTGGAGTACACATCCTGGTAATCTGTCTGGCCCTGCGGCCTTGTGAATGTTGACCTGCTTAAAAGTCTTACTCACATCGGCTATGGAGAGCATGATCACACAGTTGTCCGGAACAGCTGATGCTCTCATGCATGCTTCAGTGTTGCTTGCCTCGAACCGAGCATAGAAGTAATTTAGCTTGTCTTGTAGGCTCGCGTCACTGGGCGTTTCGCGGCTGGGTTTCCCTTTGTAGTCCGTAATAGTTTGCAAGCACAGCTGCTTCCGACGAGCGTCAGAGCTGGTGTAGTACGATTCAATCTTAGTCCTGTATTGACACTTTTCCTGTTTGATGGTTCGTCTGAGGGCATAGTGGGATTTCTTATAAGCATCCGGGTTAGAGTCCCGCTCCATGAAAGCGGCAGCTCTAGCCTTTAGCTCGGTGTGGATGTTGCCTGTAATCCATGGCTTCTGGTTGGGGTATGTACGGTCATTGAGGGGGGGACGTCATCGATGCACTTATTAATGAAGCCGATGACTGATGTGGTAAACTCCTCTATGCCATCAGAAGAATCCCGGAACATATTCCAGTCTATGCTAGCGAAACAGTCCTGTAGCTTAGCATCTACGTCATCTGACCACTTGTATACACTACACTACATGACCAAAAGAATGTGGACACCTAGTCGTCGCAAATCGAACTTTACACCACTCCAGAGAACGCGTTTCCACTGTTCCAGAGTTCAATGGTGGCGAGCTTTACACCACTCCAGAGAACGCGTTTCCACTGCTCCAGAGTCCAATGGTGGCGAGCTTTACACCACTCCAGCCAACGCTTGGCATTGTGCATGGTGATCTTAGGCTTTTCGTGTGGCTGCTCGGCTATGGAAACCCATTTCATGAAGCTCCCGACAAACATTTATTTTGCTGACGTTGCTTCCAGAGGCAGTTTGGAACTCGGTAGTGAGTGTTGCAACCGATGACAGATGATTTTTACGTGCTTCAGCACTCTGCGGTCCCGTTCTGTGAGCTTGTGTGGCCTACCACTTCGCGGCTGAGCCGTTGTTGCTCCTAGACATTTCCACTTCACAATAACGGCACTTATAGTTGAACCGGGGCAGCTCCAGCAGGGCAGAAATTGGACAAACTGACTTGTCGGAAAGGTGGCATCCTGTGACGGTGCCACATTGAAAGCCACTGAACTCTTCAGTAACGCCATTCTACTGCCAATGTTTGTCTATGGAGATTGCATGGCTGTGTGCTCGATTTTATACACCTGTCAGCAACGGGTGTGGCTGAAATAGCCGAATCCACTCATTTAAAGGGGTGTCCACATACTTTTAGTTTAGTACTTGTTAGTTTACATTTGGGTCAGAGCTTGTTTTCCCGTTCATGACATCACTGGAAACCCGAGTTCGGCCCACATGTTGACTCCAATGCTTCCCACAGCTGTGTTAAGTTGGCTGAATGTCCTTTGGGTGGTGGACTCTTGATACACATGGGAAACTGTTGAGCGTGAAAAACCCAGCAACGATGCAGTTCTTGACACAAAAAGGCACTTGAATCTTTTGTCTTGCCCATTCACCCTCTGAATGGCACACATACACAATCCAGGTCTCAATTGTCTCAAGGCTTAAAAATCCTTCTTTAACCTGTCTCCTCCCCTTCATCTACACTGATTGAAGTGGATTTAACAGGTGACATCAATAAGGGATCACAGCTTTCACCTGGATTCGCCTGGTCAGTATATGTCATGTGCCCAATGTTTTGTCCACTCTTTGTATATCTTTGTAGTCTGTGATGACCTACACTACCGTTCTAAAGTTTGGGGTCACTTAGAAATGTCCTTGTTTTCGAAAGAAAAGCAATTTTTTGTCCATTAAAATAACATCAAATTGATCAGAAATACAGTGTAGACATTGTTAACTTTGTAAATGGCTATTGTAGCTGGAAACGGCTGATTTTTAATGGCATATCTACATAGGCGTACAGAGGCCCATTACCAGCAACCATCAGTCCTGTGTTCCAATGGCACGTTGTATTTGTTAATCCAAGTTTATCATTTGAAAAGGCTAATTGATCATTAGAAAACCTTTTTGCAATTATGTTAGCACAGCTGAAAACGGTTGTGCTGATTAAAGAAGCAATAAAACTGGCTTTCTTAATTACACCCAGTTTTCTGTTTTGGGCCCTGGTCAACAGTAGTGCACCATGTAGGGGGATAGGGTGCCATTTGGGATGCCCGGCAGATGTGAATGCTTATTGGTGGAATGTTGTTGATATGACAGCCGGTTGGCTGGGTCCGTGTTCTAAAAGCTTTGAAGAGTTCAGCCTGTTAGATTAGCTGATCTATAGTGTGTTAATGACTTTATGATGATCCCACAGCTTCTCAGCTTTAATAGACCAGAACCACTTGCATCTTGTTTTAAAAAGCTTGGATCTGGTTTATTTTTATGTTGAAGCATCATTATCATGTTTACATTGGTGTTTTTAAAGCATGCCAAGACAGCCTCGACTCAAACTATTCTGTATCTTACATTATATCAACCTTAATATTCAGCATCTTACATTATATCAACCTTTAACATTCCGTATCTTACATTATATCAACCTTTAATATTCTGTATCTTACATTACATTAACCTCCATCTTACCTAACTTAACTCAAACTATTTTGTATCTTACCTTATGTTTCCAACTGTAACTGTTCTCTATCTTACCCAACTGTAACTGTTCTCTATCTTACCTAATCTGTACTAACTGTACGTTCTCTATCTTACCTAACTGTAACTGTTTCTCTATCTTAACCTAACTGTAACTGTTCTCTATCTTACCTAACTGTAACGTTTCTCTATCTTACCTAACTGTAAACTGTTCTCTATCTTACCTAACGGTAACTGTTCTCCTATCTTACCTAACTGTAACTGTTCTCTATCTTACCTAACTGTAACTGTTCTCTATCTTACCTAACTGTAACTGTTCTCTCTATCTTACCTAACTGTAACTGTTCTCTATCTTACCTAACTGTAACTGTTCTCTATCTTACCTAACTGTAACTGTTCTCTATCTTACCTAACTGTAACTGTTCTCTATCTTACCTAACTGTAACTGTTCTCTATCTTACCTAACTGTAACTGTTCTCTATCTTACCTAACTGAAGCTGTTCTCTATCTTACCTAACTGTAACTGTTCTCTATCTTACCTAACTGTAAACTGTTCTCTATCTTACCTAACTGTAACTGTTCTCTATCTTACCTAACTGTAACTGTTCTCTATTTTACCTAACTGTAACTGTTTCTCTATCTTACCTAACTGTAACTGTTCTCTATCTTACCTAACTGAATGTTCTCTATCTTACCTAACTGTAACTGTGTTCTCATCTACCTAACTGTACTGTTCCTATCTTACCACTGTAACTGTTTTTATCTTACCTAACTGTAATGTTCTCCTATTTACCTAACTGTAAGTGTTCTCTATCTTACCTAACTGTAACTGGTGTCTCATCTTACCTACTGTAACTGTTCTCTATCTTACCTAACTGAAGCGGTGTCTCTATCTTACCTAATGTAATGTTATCTAGCTACCTAACTGTACTGTTCCTATCTTACCCCTGTAACTGTGTTCCTATCTTACTAAACTGAACTGTTCTCTACTTACCTAACTGTAACTGTTCTCTATCTTACCTACTGTAACTGCTCTCTATTACCTAACTGACTTTTCTCATTTTAAACCTAACTGTAACATGTTCTCTATCTTACCTAACTGTACTGTTTCTATTTCCTAACGTACTGTTCTCTATCTTACCTACTGTAACTTGTCTCTATTACCTACTAAGCTGTCTCTATTACCTAACGTAACTGTTCTCTATCTCAAACTGTAACTGTTCCTATCTTACCCAACTGTAACTGTTCTCTATCATTACCTACTGTACTGTTCTATCTTACCTAACTGTACTGTTCTTACATAATCTTACCTACTGTAACTGTTCTCGTATCTTAACCTAACTGTAACTGTTCTCTATCTTACCTAACTGAAGCTGTTCTCTATCTTACCTAACTGAAGCTGTTCTGTAGCATACCATATACAGTTGAAGTCGGAAGTTTACATACACTTAGGTTGGAGTCATTAAAACTCGTTTTTCAACCACTCCACAAATGTCTTGTTAACAAACTATAGTTTTGGCAAGTCGGTTAGGACATCTACTTTGTGCATGACACAAGTAATTTTTCCAACAATTGTTTACAGACAGATTATTTCACTTATAATTCACTGTATCACAATTCCAGTGGGTCAGAAGTTTACATACACTAAGTTGACTGTGCCTTTAAACAGCTTGGAAAGTTCCAGAAAATGATGTAATGGCTTTAGAAGCTTCTGATAGGCTAATTGACATTATTTTAGTCAATTGGAGGTATACCTGTGGATGTATTTCAAGGCCTACCTTCAAACTCAGTGTCTCTTTGCTTGACATCATAGGAAAATCTAAAGAAATCAGCCAAGACCTCAGAAAAAATGTGTAGACCTCCACAAGTCTGGTTCATCCTTGGGAGCGATTTCCAAACGCCTGAAGGTACCACGTTCATCTGTACAAACAATGGGACCACGCAGCCGTCATACCGCTCAGGAAAGAGACGCGTTCTGTCTCCTAGAGATGAACGTACTTTGGTGCAAAAAGTGCAAATCAATCCCAGAACAACAGCAAAGGACCTTGTGAAGATGCTGGAGGAAACAGGTACAAAAGTATCTATATCCACAGTAAAACGAGTCCTATATCGACATAACCTGAAAGACCGCTCAGCAAGGAAGAAGCCACTGCTCTAAAACCGCCATAAAAAAGCCAGACTACGGTTTGCAACTGCACATGGGGACAAAGCTCGTCCTTTTTGGAGAAAGGTCCTCTGGTCTAATGAAACAAAAATAGAACTGTTTGGCCATAATGACCATCGTTATGTTTGGAGGAAAAAGGTTGATGCTTGCAAGCCGAAGAACACCATCCCAACCGTGAAGCACGGGGGTGGCAGCATCATGCTGTGGGGGTGCTTTGCTGCAGGAGGGACTGGTGCACTTCACAAAATAGATGGAATCATGAGGAAGGAAAATTATGTGGATATATTGAAGCAACATCTCAAGACATCAGTCAGGAAGTTAAAGCTTGGTCACAAATGGGTCTTCCAAATGGACAATGACCCCAAGCATACTTCCAAAGTTGTGGCAAAATGGCTTAAGGACAACAAAGTCAAGGTATTGGAGTGGCCATCACAAAGCCCTGACCTCAATCCTATAGAACATGTGTGGGCAGAACTGAAAAAGTGTGTGCGAGCAAGGAGGCCTACAAACCTGACTCAGTTACACCAGCTCTGTCAGGAGGAATGGGCCAAAATTCACCCAAACTTATTGTGGGAAGCTTGTGGAAGGCTACCCGAAACGTTTGACCCAAGTTAAACAATTTAAAGGCAATGCTACCAAATACTAATTGAGTGTATGTAAACTTCTGACCCCCTGGGAATGTGATGAAATAAATAAAAGCTGAAATAAATCATTCTTTCTACTATTATTCTGACATTTCACATTCTTAAAATAAAGTGGTGATCCTAACTGACCTAAAACAGGGAATTTTTACTAGGATTAAATGTCAGGAATTGTGAAAAACTGAGTTTAAATGTATTTGACTAAGGTGTATGTAAACTTCCGACTTCAACTGTATTTCCAACTGTAACTAACTGAAACTGTTCTGTAGCGTACCTTATATTTCCACTTGGCTTCCGTCTGTTTCTTGTTCTGTTCTCGGATCTCAATCTTCTCCAAATCGTTCCGCTTACAGGTCTCCTTCTCCGACATGCTCAGGATGTTGTTAGCCGCCTGGGGGAGCAGGGAGCATCAGTTGGAGCAAATGCCTGCACACCCTGATGTAGAGGTGTAGAGCTTGACTGGTCCAGTCACGTTACTCATGGTAAAACTCAGGGCCTTGCCCCCCCCGCTTGCCCCTCTTGGGCTGGTCCATCTTGACCGAAATGTAAATATGGTTAAACAGGGTAACAGAAGTTAATAAGGTATGGCTGTTATTGCTCTCACCTTTCCCCCCATCTTGCCCTTCTTGGGCTGGTCCATCTTGCGGAGGATGTCCTTGGCGTGAGACTCCAGAGCTGCCAGGCTGGAGGGCTTTGACGGAGGAGGGGGAGGGGGGGGGAGGAGGGGGAAGGAGGGACCTCCTTCTCTTTCTTTCCTTTATTTTTCCCTCCCTCCTTCACACTTTGGGCATCTTGGGAGGTTTGGGCATCTTGGGAGGTTTGGGTGGCTTGGGAGGTTTGGGCATCTTGGGAGGTTTGGGCATCTTGGGAGGTTTGGGTGGCATGGAGGCCTTCTTCCTGGCTGGTTTTTCCCAGAGGGGAGGGGAGGGAGAGGGGACGCTGGAGGGGGAAGCAGGATCCTCAGGCTCTGACGGGGCAGGAGGGAGTTCCTCCACTGGAGGCTTGCTGATCGAATCACTCTTAATGGCTTTAGCCGCATTCTGGACAACAACAACACAATGACACTGTCATTTATCCGAAGATACTCACTTTACTATTTTCTCCCCTTATATTTCACTCCGAACCATGACAACAGTCTGAGCTGTGAGTTCATAGTACAGTTAGTAACCCAGTTCACCACAACACCCAGGATGCAGTTCAGATATAGGTTATGCCTGTACAGTTAATGAACATGTCAGATATGCTCTGTGTCTCTACAACAACAACAACAGGCCATTGGAAACCTGACCAGTAGAATAGATCGGTACAGGGCAGAGCAGGGTCGTACCTCTGAGATCCGGATCTCCTTGGCCAGGTCCTTGATGAGCTGAGTGGGCTTCATGTTCTCTGGGAGCTCATCCTCGTGCTCTAACAGGGCCTGCAGGGGAGGACACGGTGACAACACAGTTAGTAGCTGTAGCAGCAGGACATCATGAGACTGTGTGATGCTTACTCCCTATAAGACTGAGGAAACAGAACAGGATACATTGTCCATTATAAAGGTGGGATTTAGGTTGTATAGGTGAGGTAACCAAAGTGACCTGTTTCTTGGTCCAAGCTCTAAAAGCTCCGTTGATGATCTTAGCTCCGTGGACCAGATAGGGGGCTGGCTGCTTGTTGGACTTGTGTAAACCTGCAACAAGAGAGAATACTGTTAGACAGCTCTCCCTTGGTAAAGAGGTATGTTGACCTCAAATGGGACAAACTGTTAAAATAAAGGTTAAATTAAATTGACTAAAACTTTTTTCGAAAATTAGCCGCCGAAATTGTCGCAACCCCTATTACTAGCCTGTTCAACCTCTCTTTCGTAACGTCTGAGATCCCCAGAGATTGGAAAGCTGCCGCGGTCATCCCCCTCTTCAAGGGGGGTGACACTCTAGATCCAAACTGTTACAGACCTATATCCATCCTGCCCTGCCTTTCGAAAGTTTTTGAAAGCCAAGTTAACAAACAGATCACCGACCATTTCGAATCCCACCGTACCTTCTCCGCTATGCAATCTGGTTTCCGAGCTGGTCATGGGTGCACCTCAGCCACGCTCAAGGTCCTAAACAATATTATAACCGTGATCGGTAATAGACAGTACTGTGCAGCCGTCTTCATCGACCTGGCCAAGGCTTTCGACTCTGTCAACCACCGCATTCTTATTGGCAGACTAAATAGCCTTGGTTTCTCAAATGACTGCCTCGCCTGGTTCACCAACTACTTCTCAGATAGAGTTCAATGTGTCAAATCGGAGGGCCTGTTGTCTGGACCTATGGCAGTCTCTATGGGGGTGCCACAGAGTTCAATTCTTGGGCCGACTCTTTTCTCCGTGTATATCAATGATGTCGCTCTTGCTGCTGGTGACTCTCAGATCCACCTCTACGCAGACGACACCATTTTGTATATATCTGGCCCTTCATTGGACACTGTGTTAACAAACCTCCAAACGAGCTTCAATTCCATACAACACTCCTTCAGTAGCCTCCAACTGCTCTTAAACACTAGTAAAACTAAATGCATGCTCTTCAATCGAACGCTGCTGGCACCCCGCCCACCCGACTAGAATCACTACTCTCGACGGGTCTGACCTAGAGTATGTGGACAACTACAAATACCTAGGTGTCTGGTTAGACTGTAAACTCTCCTTCCAGACTCATATTAAGAATCTCCAATCCAAAGTTAAATCTAGAATCGGTTTCCTATTTCGCAACAAAGCCTCCTTCACTCATGCTGCCAAACATGCCCTCGTAAAACTGACTATCCTACCGATCCTTGACTTCGGCGATGTCATTTACAAAATAGCCTCCAACACTCTACTCAGCAAATTGGATGTAGTCTATCACAGTGCCATCCGTTTTGTCTCCAAAGCCCCATATAATACCCACCACTGTGACCTGTACGCTCTTGTTGGCTGGTCCTCACTACATATTCGTCGCCAAACCCACTGGCTCCAGGCCATCTTTAAATCACTGCTAGGCAAATCCCCGCCTTATCTTAGCTCATTGGTCACCATAGCAACACCCACCCGTAGTCTGCGCTCCAGCGGGTATATCTCACTGGTCATCCCCAAAGCCAACACCTCCTTTGGCCCCCATTCCTTCCAGTTCTCTGCTGCCAATGACTGGAACAAATTGCAAAAATCTCTGAAGCTGGAGACACTTATCTCCCTCACTAACTTTAAGCATCAGTTGTCAGAGCACCTTACCGATCACTGCACCTGTACACAGCCCATCTGAAATTAGCCCACCCAACTACCTCATCCCTATATTGTTATTTATTTTGCTATTTTGCACCCCAGTATCTCTATTTGCACATCATCTCTTGCACATCTATCATTCCAGTGTTAATACTAATTGTAATTATTCTGCACTATAGCCTATTTATTGCCTTACCTCCATAACTTGCTACATTTGCACACACTGTATATATATTTTCTGTTGTATTTTTGACTTTATGTTTAGTTTTACCCCATATGTAACTCTGTGTTGTTGTTTTTATCGCACTGCTTTGCTTTATCTTGGCCAGGTCGCAGTTGTAAATGAGAACTTGTTCTCAACTGGCTTACCTGGTTAAATAAAGGTGAAATAAAAAAATAAAAAAATAAAAAACATCTCGGATTCATTCACTGTGAGAACATTGATTGAGTTGAGCGGAAGTGACTTAGACACTTTTCATAAAAGCCTCTTTCTACTGTCAGAGAACGGCGTCTAGGCTAACTGCTGTCAGTAAACTAATTAACCAATCAAAACACATCATCACGTTTCAGAGCCCAGTCACATGTATTTCATAAACAGACAGCAGGGAAATATAACTCTCTGTTGAAACTAAATTCACTCTGGTTTAATAATAGAAAACAATCCCTATAACAGTAAACTCCTGGAAGATGTTACTGCAAGCTGAAGGCCGTTAAAAATCAGACACATGCCTCTCCCTCCCTCCCACCCTGCCTCCCTCCCTCCCCGACACATGCCTCTCCCTCCCTCCCACCCTGCCTCCCTCCCTCCCTCCCTCCCACCCTGCCTCCCTCCCCAACACATGCCTCTCCCTCCCTCCCACCCTGCCTCCCTCCCTCCCTGACACATCCCTCCCTCCCTCCCTCCCACCCTGCCTCCCTCCCCCCCTCCCAACCCTGCCTCCCCCCCCCTCCCTCCCCGACACATGCCTCTCCCTCCCCCCCACCCTGCCTCCCTCCCTCCCTCCCACCCTGCCTCCCCCTCCCCCACACATGCCTCTCCCTCCCTCCCACCCTGCCTCCCTCCCTCCCACCCTGCCTCCCCCCCCTCCCCGACACATGCCTCCTTTCCCCCCCTCCCCCCTGCCCTCCCTCCCTCCCACCCGCCTCCCCCCTCCCGACACATGCTCTCCCTCCCTCCCACCCTGCCTCCCTCCCTCCCTCCCACCCTGCCTCCCTCCCTCCCCGACCCCAAAGCCTCTCCCTCCCTCCCACCCTCCTCCCTCCCTCCCACCCTGCCTTTCCCTCCCTCCCCGACACATGCCTCATCCCTCCCTCCCCCCTGCCTCCCCCCCTCCCTCCCACCCTCCTCCCTCCCTCCCTCCCACCCTGCCTCCCCCCTCCCCACCCATGCCTCTCCCTCCTCCCTACCCCGCCCCCCTCCCTCCCTGACACATGCCTCTCCCTCCCTCCCACCCTGCCTCCCTCCCTCCCCGACACATGCCTCTCCCTCCCCCCCGCCTCCCTCCCTCCCTCCCCGACACATTTCCTCTCCCTCCCTCCCACCCTCCCCTCCCTCCCTCCCACCCTGCCTCCCCCCTCCCTCCAAACCCTGCCTCCCTCCCTCCCCGACACATGCCTCTCCCCCCCACCCCGCCTCCCTCCCCCCCTGACACATGCCTCTCCCTCCCTCCCCCCTGCCTCCCTCCCCCCCCGACACATGCCTCTCCCTCCCACCCCTGCCTCCCTCCCTCCCCGACACATGCCTCTCCCCCCTCCCACCCTGGCCCCCCTCCCTCCCCGACACTGCCTCTCCCTCCCTCCCACCCTGCCCCTCCCTCCCCGGACAAATGCCCCTCCCTCCCTCCCCCCTGCCTCTCCATCCCTCCCACCCTGCCTCCCTCCCTCCCACCCTGCCTCCCTCCCTCCCCGACACATGCCTCTCCCTCCCACCCACCCACCCACCCACCATGCCTCCAACCCTTCCTTCCTCCCTGTAATAGGACTAAAATTGAATCCTACTACACCGGCTCCGACGCTCGTCGGATGTGGCAGGGCATGAAAACTATTACAGACTACAAAGGGAAGCACAGCCGCGAGCTGCCCAGTGACACAAGCCAACACTGAAGCATGCATGAGAGCATCAGCTGTTCCGGATGACTATGTGATCAAGCTCTCTGTAGCCGATGTGAGCAAGACCTTTAAACAGGTCAACATTCACAAGGCCACGGGGCCAGACGGATTACCAGGACGTGTACTCCGAGCATTTGCTGACCAACTGGCAAGTGTCTTCACTGACATGTTCAACCTCTCCCTGACCGAGTCTGTAATACCGAGTCTGTTTCAAGCAGACCACCATAGTCCCTGTGCCCAAGCACACTAAGGTAACCTGCCTAAATGACTACCGCCCAATGGCACTCATGTCGGTAGCCATGAAGTGCTTTGAAAGGCTGGTCATGGCTCACATCTACACCATCATTCTGGAAACCCTAGATCTACTCCAATTTGCTTACCGCCCCAACAGATCCACAGATGACACAATCTCAATTGCAATCCATACTGCCCTTTCCCACCTGGACAAAAGGAACACCTATGTGAGAATGCTGTTCATTGACTACAACTTAGCGTTCAACACCATAGTGCCCACAAAGCTCATCACTAAGCTAAGGACCCTGGGACTAAACACCTCTCTCTGCAACTGGATCCTGGACTTCCTGACGGGCCGACCCCAGGTGGTAAGGGTAGGTAACAACACATCTGCCACGCTGATCCTCAACACTGGGGCCCCTCAGGGGTGCGTGCTCAGTCCCCTCCTGTACTCCCTGTTCACCCAGGACTGCGTGGCCAGGCATGACTCAAACACCATCATTAAGTTTGCTGACGACACAACGGTGGTAGGCCTGATCACCGACAACGATGAGACAGTCTATAGGGAGGTCAGAGACCTGGCCGTGTGGTGCCAGGACAACGTCTTCCTCAACATCAGCAAGACAAAGGAGCTGATCATGGACTACAGGAAAAGGAGGGCCGAACATGGCCCCATTCACATCGACGGGGCTGTAGTGGAGCGGGTTGAGAGCTTCAAGTTCCTCACCAACAAATTATTATGGTCCAAACACACCAAGACAGTCGTGAAGAGGGCACGACAACGCCTATTCCCCTTCAGGACACTGAAAAGATTTGGCATGGCTCCCTAGATCCTCAAAAATGTCTACAGCTGCACCATCGAGAGCATCCTGACTGGTTGCATCACCGCCTGGTATGGCAACTGCTCGGCCTCCGACCGCAAGGCACAACAGAGGGTAGTGCGTACAGCCCAGTACATGACTGGGGCCAAGCTTCCTGCCATCCAGGACCTCTATACCAGGCGGTGTCAGAGGAAGGTCAAAAAATTGTCAAAGACTCCAGTTACCCAAGTCATAGACTGTTCTCTCTGCTACCGCACGGCAAGCGGTACCGGAGCGCCAAGTCTAGGTCCAAAAGGCTCCTTAACAGCTTCTACTCCCAAGCCATAAGACTGCTGAACAACTAATCAAATGGCTACCTGGACTATTTGCATTGACCCACCCCTTTTTTTTTTTTTACACTGCTGCTACTCACTGTTTATTTCTATGCATAGTCACTTTACCCCTCCCTACATGTACATATTACCTCAATTACCTGGATTACCTGTACCCCAGCCCATTGACTCGGTACCCGTACACCCTGTATATAGCCTCGTTATTGTTATTTTAGTGTGTTACTATTTTTTACTTTAGTTTATTTAGTAAACATTTTCTTAAAACTGCATTGTTGGTTAAGGGCTTGTAAAGTAAGCATTTCACGGTAAGGTCTACACAGGTTGTATTCGGCGCGTGTGACAAATACATTTAGATTTGATTTGATATGTGAACTCAACACCCAAAACTACTTGGTAGTTGTGGATTATTTTTCTAGGTATATATAAATAACTTGCCTCAAAGACATGTCAGGAGAAACTACAAGAGCTAAACTGAAGAACATCTCTGGTGGGGAGGCCCAAACAGGCCCAAACAGGCCCAAACAGGCCCAAACAGGCTGACCCATTCCTAGCTGTCATGACCTACAACGCCACCGCAAGCCACAGGTGTGTTGAACTTTAAAGAAAGAAAAATGTGTTCATGAATTCATACGTTAAGGAGACAAAAGTTAATTGTTAATTACAGAGTGATTAACTATAAACGGTATGTGATGTTTTGACATTTTAGAAACTCGTCTTAAAATAATCAAAGAGATAAGACCTGTATGTTCCACCTCCATAACCTGTATGTTCCACCTCCATAAGATGATAATGGGATGTAAACGTGGTCTTATAAGCTGTGTCCCACGACACCGTATTCCTTGCATACGTTACGTTACGTTGCGCCTTACGTTTTGCACAACGTTTGACCAGAACAGTATGTTGGCAATGTAATCATAAGAAGGCAATCTGGCCGCATTACAGCAGTGAGAAAAAGCGTTCAGTGGAAATGTAAACAGAGTTGTCCGGCCAGCCGAGAGGGGTTAAAACACAGAGAGAGAGCAGAGAACTAGTTATTGTGTCTGTGCCAGGCCTCTTGAACCTAATCATCTGTGAACGACGCCACGCAGACCTTTAAATGACTGTAATAATATTAGAGTCTCCATCTCCTCATCTGCTGAGCAGACCGTAGGAAGGACACACGCTATACACCACTAGAGGAACAGGAAACGCACAAGCACCACGAGTTGAACAGGAAACGCATCACAAGCACAGGAAGAGGAACGTAGAGGAAGAGGAAGCCAGAAACCAAACCTGAAAGCATAATAGTTGTGGAAATAAAAAAAGGTGACGTACCTTTGAATCGCTCCAACAGGTGGCGTCCCACGTACCAGCAGGCCGTCTCAAAGTTGGGGAACGGAGTCAGACAGTTCACCTTCAGACGCTTCTCTACCTCGTAAGCTCTGGAGAGGGAAACACACGTTTATGTTTTATTTAAAGGGATAGTTCACCCAAATTACAAAACGACATCTTGGTTTCCTCACCCTGTCAGCAGTCTATGGACAAGATATGACAGCAATCCATGCTTTGGTGTAGGTTCCCTGGCACTGTTACCACATGCTAACATTTTAGCATTTGTAGCACAAATCCCATTCAAGTCGAGGGACCAATATGACCATTTCTTCATGAGCGCTAATTAAAAACTAGGCTAAATCAGGAAGTGCAGTTGACCTGTAAAGCTACAGTCTCCGCCTCCTCATTGATCCTAATGATGTTCTCACCTCATCTGCATCTCAACACTCAGGTTGTGGACAAAGTGTCCAGAGAAGGCCAGAGTGTCCACTGGAGTCAGAACTGCATTGATACTAATGATGTTCTCACCTCATCTGCATCTCAACACTCAGGTTGTGGACAAAGTGTCCAGAGAAGGCCAGCGTGTCCACTGGAGTCAGAACTGCATTGATCCAACCTGGAAACAAACACAGTAAACAACTGTGTTGTGACAACATCAGAACTGGTCTGATTCTATTCCCAATGTGAAAACATCAGAACTGGTCTGATTCTATTCCCAATGTGACAACATCAGAACTGGTCTGATTCTATTCCCAATGTGAAAACATCAGAACTGGTCTGATTCTATTCCCAATGTGAAAACATCAGAACTGGTCTGATTCTATTCCCAATGTGAAAACATCAGAACTGGTCTGATTCTATTCCCAATGTGAAAACATCAGAACTGGTCTGATTCTATTCCCAATGTGAAAACATCAGAACTGGTCTGATTCTATTCCAATGTGAAAAACATCAGAACTGGTCTGGTTCTATTCCCAATGTGACAATCAGAACTTGGTTGTCTATTCCATGTGAACATCAGACTGGTCTGGTTCTATTCCCAATGTGAAAACATCAGAACTGGTCTGGTTCTATTCCCAATGTGACAACATCAGAACTGGTCTGATTCTATTCCCAATGTGACAACATCAGAACTGGTCTGATTCTATTCCCAATGTGACAACATCAGAACTGGTCTGATTCTATTCCCAATGTGACAACATCAGAACTGGTCTGGTTCTATTCCCAATGTGACAACATAAGAACTGGTCTGATTCTATTCCCAATGTGAAAACATCAGAACTGGTGTGATTCTATTCCCAATGTGAAAACATCAGAACTGGTGTGATTCTATTCCCAATGTGAAAACATCAGAACTGGTCTGATTCTATTCCCAATGTGAAAACATCAGAACTGGTCTGATTCTATTCCCAATGTGACAACATCAGAACTGGTCTGATTCTATTCCCAATGTGACAACATCAGAACTGGTCTGATTCTATTCCCAATGTGACAACATCAGAACTGGTCTGATTCTATTCCCAATGTGAAAACATCAGAACTGGTCTGATTCTATTCCCAATGTGACAACATCAGAACTGGTCTGATTTGTGAGAAGAACTGAATCTAGCCCTGAACAGAGTGCTGATTCTGATGTGATGGTTTGAGTTCACTAACCTGATGGTATGAATAGGGTCTGTCCCTGATTCAGCACTAACCTGACGGTATGAATAGGGTCTGTCCCTGATTCAGAGTGCACTAACCTGATGGTATGAATAGGGTCTGTCCCTGATTCAGAGTGCACTAACCTGATGGTATGAATAGGGTCTGTCCCTGATTCAGCACTAACCTGATGGTATGAATAGGGTCTGTCCCTGATTCAGAGTGCACTAACCTGATGGTATGAATAGGGTCTGTCCCTGATTCAGCACTAACCTGATGGTATGAATAGGGTCTGTCCCTGATTCAGCACTAACCTGATGGTATGAATAGGGTCTGTCCCTGATTCAGCACTAACCTGACGGTATGAATAGGGTCTGTCCCTGATTCAGCACTAACCTGACGGTATGAATAGGGTCTGTCCCTGATTCAGCACTAACCTGACGGTATGAATAGGGTCTGTCCCTGATTCAGAGTGCACTAACCTGACGGTATGAATAGGGTCCTGTCCCTGATTCAGCACTAACCTGGACGGTAATGAATAGGGTCTGTCCCTGATTCAGAGTGCACTAACCTGATGGTATGAATAGGGTCTGTCCCTGATTCAGAGTGCACTAACCTGACGGTATGAATAGGGTCTGTCCCTGATTCAGGAGTGCACTAACCTGATGGTATGAATAGGGTCTGGTCCCTGATTCAGAGTGCACTAAACCTTATGGTTATGAATAGGGTCTGTCCCTGATTCAGAGTTCACTAACCTGACGTATGAATAGGGTCTGTCCCTGATTCAGCACTAACCTGATGGTATGAATAGGGTCTGTCCCTGATTCAGCACTAACCTGATGGGTATGAATAGGGTCTGTCCCTGATTCAGCACTAACCTGATGGTATGAATAGGGTCTGTCCCTGATTCAGCACTAACCTGATGGTATGAATAGGGTCTGTCCCTGATTCAGCACTAACCTGACGTTATGAATAGGGTCTGTCCCTGATTCAGCACTAACCTGATGGTATGAATAGGGTCTGTCCCTGATTCAGCACTAACCTGACGTTATGAATAGGGTCTGTCCCTGATTCAGCACTAACCTGATGGTATGAATAGGGTCTGTCCCTGATTCAGCACTAACCTGACGGTATGAATAGGGTCTGTCCCTGATTCAGCACTAACCTGACGGTATGAATAGGGTCTGTCCCTGATTCAGCACTAACCTGACGGTATGAATAGGGTCTGTCCCTGATTCAGCACTAACCTGATGGTATGAATAGGGTCTGTCCCTGATTCAGAGTGCACTAACCTGATGGTATGAATAGGGTCTGTCCCTGATTCAGAGTGCACTAACCTGATGGTATGAATAGGGTCTGTCCCTGATTCAGAGTGCACTAACCTGACGGTATGAATAGGGTCTGTCCCTGATTCAGCACTAACCTGACGTTATGAATAGGGTCTGTCCCTGATTCAGCACTAACCTGATGGTATGAATAGGGTCTGTCCCTGATTCAGAGTGCACTAACCTGATGGTATGAATAGGGTCTGTCCCTGATTCAGCACTAACCTGATGGTATGAATAGGGTCTGTCCCTGATTCAGAGTGCACTAACCTGATGGTATGAATAGGGTCTGTCCCTGATTCAGAGTGCACTAACCTGACGGTATGAATAGGGTCTGTCCCTGATTCAGCACTAACCTGATGGTATGAATAGGGTCTGTCCCTGATTCAGAGTGCACTAACCTGATGGTATGAATAGGGTCTGTCCCTGATTCAGAGTTCACTAACCTGATGGTATGAATAGGGTCTGTCCCTGATTCAGAGTGCACTAACCTGACGGTATGAATAGGGTCTGTCCCTGATTCAGCACTAACCTGACGGTATGAATAGGGTCTGTCCCTGATTCAGCACTAACCTGATGGTATGAATAGGGTCTGTCCCTGATTCAGCACTAACCTGATGGTATGAATAGGGTCTGTCCCTGATTCAGAGTGCACTAACCTGATGGTATGAATAGGGTCTGTCCCTGATTCAGAGTGCACTAACCTGATGGTATGAATAGGGTCTGTCCCTGATTCAGAGTGCACTAACCTGATGGTATGAATAGGGTCTGTCCCTGATTCAGAGTGCACTAACCTGATGGTATGAATAGGGTCTGTCCCTGATTCAGCACTAACCTGACGGTATGAATAGGGTCTGTCCCTGATTCAGAGTTCACTAACCTGATGGTATGAATAGGGTCTGTCCCTGATTCAGCACTAACCTGATGGTATGAATAGGGTCTGTCCCTGATTCAGCACTAACCTGACGGTATGAATAGGGTCTGTCCCTGATTCAGCACTAACCTGACGGTATGAATAGGGTCTGTCCCTGATTCAGCACTAACCTGACGGTATGAATAGGGTCTGTCCCTGATTCAGAGTTCACTAACCTGACGGTATGAATAGGGTCTGTCCCTGATTCAGAGTGCACTAACCTGATGGTATGAATAGGGTCTGTCCCTGATTCAGAGTTCACTAACCTGACGGTATGAATAGGGTCTGTCCCTGATTCAGAGTGCACTAACCTGATGGTATGAATAGGGTCTGTCCCTGATTCAGCACTAACCTGACGGTATGAATAGGGTCTGTCCCTGATTCAGCACTAACCTGATGGTATGAATAGGGTCTGTCCCTGATTCAGAGTGATCTAACCTGATGGTATGGGCGCCACTCAGTACTCCTGAGTGGCGCAGTGGTCTAAGGCACTGCATCGCAGTGCTAACTGTGCCACTAGAGATCCTGGTTCGAATCCATGCTCTGTCGCAACCGGCCGCGACCGGGAGACTCATGGGCGGCGCACAATTGGCCCAGCGTCGTCCAGGGTAGGGGAGGGAATGGCCGGCAGGGATGTAGCTCAGTTGATAGAGCATGGCGTTTGCAACGCCAGGGTTGTGGGTTCGATTCCCACGGGGGGCCAGAATAAAAAAATATGTATTCACTAACTGTAAGTCGCTCTGGATAAGAGCGTCTGCTAAATGACTAAAATGTAAATGTAAATGTAATGGTATGAATAGGGTCTGTCCCTGATTCAGAGTGCACTAACCTGACGGTATGAATAGGGTCTGTCCCTGATTCAGAGTGCACTAACCTGACGGTATGAATAGGGTCTGTCCCTGATTCAGCACTAACCTGATGGTATGAATAGGGTCTGTCCCTGATTCAGCACTAACCTGATGGTATGAATAGGGTCTGTCCCTGATTCAGCACTAACCTGATGGTATGAATAGGGTCTGTCCCTGATTCAGAGTGCACTAACCTGATGGTATGAATAGGGTCTGTCCCTGATTCAGCACTAACCTGATGGTATGAATAGGGTCTGTCCCTGATTCAGCACTAACCTGATGGTATGAATAGGGTCTGTCCCTGATTCAGCACTAACCTGATGGTATGAATAGGGTCTGTCCCTGATTCAGCACTAACCTGACGGTATGAATAGGGTCTGTCCCTGATTCAGCACTAACCTGATGGTATGAATAGGGTCTGTCCCTGATTCAGAGATCACTAACCTGACGGTATGAATAGGGTCTGTCCCTGATTCAGCACTAACCTGACGGTATGAATAGGGTCTGTCCCTGATTCAGCACTAACCTGACGGTATGAATAGGGTCTGTCCCTGATTCAGCACTAACCTGATGGTATGAATAGGGTCTGTCCCTGATTCAGAGTACACTAACCTGACGGTATGAATAGGGTCTGTCCCTGATTCAGAGTGCACTAACCTGACGGTATGAATAGGGTCTGTCCCTGATTCAGCACTAACCTGATGGTATGAATAGGGTCTGTCCCTGATTCAGAGTGCACTAACCTGACGGTATGAATAGGGTCTGTCCCTGATTCAGCACTAACCTGATGGTATGAATAGGGTCTGTCCCTGATTCAGAGTGCACTAACCTGATGGTATGAATAGGGTCTGTCCCTGATTCAGCACTAACCTGATGGTATGAATAGGGTCTGTCCCTGATTCAGAGTGCACTAACCTGATGGTATGAATAGGGTCTGTCCCTGATTCAGCACTAACCTGATGGTATGAATAGGGTCTGTCCCTGATTCAGCACTAACCTGATGGTATGAATAGGGTCTGTCCCTGATTCAGAGATCACTAACCTGACGGTATGAATAGGGTCTGTCCCTGATTCAGCACTAACCTGATGGTATGAATAGGGTCTGTCCCTGATTCAGCACTAACCTGACGGTATGAATAGGGTCTGTCCCTGATTCAGCACTAACCTGATGGTATGAATAGGGTCTGTCCCTGATTCAGAGTGCACTAACCTGATGGTATGAATAGGGTCTGTCCCTGATTCAGAGATCACTAACCTGATGGTATGAATAGGGTCTGTCCCTGATTCAGAGTGCACTAACCTGACGGTATGAATAGGGTCTGTCCCTGATTCAGAGTGCACTAACCTGACGGTATGAATAGGGTCTGTCCCTGATTCAGAGTGCACTAACCTGACGGTATGAATAGGGTCTGTCCCTGATTCAGAGTGCACTAACCTGACGGTATGAATAGGGTCTGTCCCTGATTCAGAGTGCACTAACCTGACGGTATGAATAGGGTCTGTCCCTGATTCAGCACTAACCTGACGGTATGAATAGGGTCTGTCCCTGATTCAGCACTAACCTGACGGTATGAATAGGGTCTGTCCCTGATTCAGAGTGCACTAACCTGATGGTATGAATAGGGTCTGTCCCTGATTCAGAGTGCACTAACCTGACGGTATGAATAGGGTCTGTCCCTGATTCAGAGTGCACTAACCTGATGGTATGAATAGGGTCTGTCCCTGATTCAGCACTAACCTGATGGTATGAATAGGGTCTGTCCCTGATTCAGCACTAACCTGATGGTATGAATAGGGTCTGTCCCTGATTCAGAGTGCACTAACCTGACGGTATGAATAGGGTCTGTCCCTGATTCAGAGATCACTAACCTGACGGTATGAATAGGGTCTGTCCCTGATTCAGCACTAACCTGACGGTATGAATAGGGTCTGTCCCTGATTCAGAGTGCACTAACCTGATGGTATGAATAGGGTCTGTCCCTGATTCAGAGATCACTAACCTGATGGTATGAATAGGGTCTGTCCCTGATTCAGAGTGCACTAACCTGACGGTATGAATAGGGTCTGTCCCTGATTCAGCACTAACCTGATGGTATGAATAGGGTCTGTCCCTGATTCAGAGTGCACTAACCTGATGGTATGAATAGGGTCTGTCCCTGATTCAGCACTAACCTGACGGTATGAATAGGGTCTGTCCCTGATTCAGCACTAACCTGACGGTATGAATAGGGTCTGTCCCTGATTCAGAGTGCACTTGTAACACTTGTCCACCTGGTCAGCGAAGAACATCTCTGTGTGATTGGCTGAGGACCTCCAGCGCTCGTACAGCGATAAGTTAGCTGACGTGGGCTTGATCAGGAAGAAGATCTTCTCTCCCTGGAAACAACAACATCATCAAGATAGGCTCTTTACGACATCAGGGCCTGTATTCACAAAGCATCAGGGCATAAAGGGTCTCAGAGTAGCAGTGCTGATCTGGGATCAGGTCATAAAGGGTCTCAGAGTAGCAGTGCTGATCTGGGATCAGGGCATAAAGGGTCTCAGAGTAGCAGTGCTGATCTGGGATCAGGTCATAAAGGGTCTCAGAGTAGCAGTGCTGATCTGGGATCAGGGCATAAAGGGTCTCAGAGTAGCAGTGCTGATCTGGGATCAGGCCCCTCCATGTCCATATAATATTATTCATTATGATCTAAAAGGCTAAACTGATCCCAGATCAGCACTGCTACTATGAGACCCTTTATGACCTGATCCTAGATACATGTCCAGGACTTGTTCCGATTCATTCTACGGCTAATTTCATGCTTGCTATTCAGCAACGTTTTCGAATACACCTTGAGTGCGCAGGAAAATACGTACATTTCCTGACCGCGGGATGAGGGAGAACTGGGTTTGTCATTTTGGAAAGTTTGTTGTTTTGGAAAGTTTGTTGTTTTGGAAAGTTTGTTGTTTTGGAAAGTTTTGAAAGTCTATTGTTGATCTAATTGACCTATCTACATCTGCCTTTTGGGGGAGAATGAGGCGATTGGCAAAAAAGCTCTGGAGGTTGTTGCAGAGAAAATGTCACAATGTAGAACTGGCGCCAGCGCAGGATGCAGCGGTGTCTTTTTCCCCTTCATGTGGCTCTTCAGGGCCGATTCACTGATACTTGCAATGTCAAAGTCTGACACATTTTTTGCACCTTACACAGTGTGGGTTGGTTGGGTCCAGTAATGTAGTGGTAAAAAAAGGTGGGTAAACTACACTGAACACAAATATAAAATACAACATGTAAAGTGTTGGTCCCCTGTTTCATGAGCTGAAATTAAAGATACCAGAAATGTTCCATACGCGCAAAAGGCAGAATTTAATCACCATTTTTGCTATCGATGTGACGCTTGGCGGCGCCTAGTTAGTCAGTTCTGTACCTGTCTGGCTGAGTGGCAGTGTGGGTGGAATGAGCGTGCTCGCCTGGCGACCACAGCGCAAAACGTGCGAGGAAATAAAACTCTGTAGTCTGCCTGGAAATTAATTCGCAAGACCAATATATTTTTCTAATATTGTACAGATTAACATATTTGATCATTTTCTGTTCTCCTCTCATTTTAATTCAAGTACTTTTCAAGTACCAACTTGAGAAAAAGTATATTTTTCAAGGTATTCCAGTACTTGAATTTCAGAATGCCAAATTCAAGTACTTTAAGCACCATGTGTGAACCCTGTATGTAGAAGCTGGAAGTAGAAGCTTAGGTATTGTTGTCCATTAGTTTACTTCAATTAGGGGAGGGGTGGTAGGTTTAGAGAAATAATAATAAATAAACATATATACAGTACCAGCCAAAAGTTTGGACACACCTACTCATTCCAGTGTTTTTCTTTATTTTTACTATTTTCTACATTGTAGAATAATAGTGAAGACATCAAAACTATGAAATAGCACGTATGGAATCATCTAGTAACCAAATAAGTGTTCAACAAATCAAAATATATTTTATATTTGAGATTCTTCAAATAGGCACCCTTTGCCTTGATGACAGCTTTGCACACTCTTGGCATTCTCTCAACCAGCTTCATGAGGTAGTCACCTGGAATGCATTTCAATTAACAGGTGTGCCTTGTTAAAAGTTAATTTGTGGAATTTCTTTCCTTCTTAATGCGTTTGAGCCAATCAGTTGTGTTGTGACAAGGTAGGGGGGGTATATAGAAGATAGCCTTATTTGGTAAAAGACCAAGTCCATATTATGGCAAGAACAGCTCAAATAAGCAAAGAGAAACGACAGTCCATCATAACTTTAAGACATGAAGGTCAGTCAATACGGAACATTTCAAGAACTTTGAACGTTTCTTCAAGTGCAGACGCAGAAACCATCAAGCGCTATGATGAAACTGGCTCTCATGAGGATCGCCACAGGAATGGAAGACCCAGAGTTACCTCTGCTGCAGAGGATAAGTTCATTAGAGTTACCAGCCTCAGAAATTGCAGCCCAAATAAATGTTTCACAGAGTTCAAGTAACAGACACATCTCAACATCAACTGTTCAGAGGAGACTGCATGAATCAGGCCTTCATGGTTGAATTGCTGCAAAGAAACCACTACTAAAGGACACCAATAATAAGAAGAGACTTGCTTGGGCCAAGAAACACGAGCAATGGACATTAGACCGGTGGAAATGTGTCCTTTGGTCTGGAGTCCAAATTGGAGATTTTTGGTTCCAACCGCCGTGTCTTTGTGAGACGCAGAGTAGGTGAACGGATGATCTCTGCATATGTGGTTCCCACCGTGAAGCATGGAGGAGGAGGTGTGATGGTGCTTTGCTGGTGAGACTGTCTGTGATTTATTTAAAATTCAAGGCACACTTAACCAGCATGTCAACCACAGCATTCTGCAGCGATACACCATCCCATCTGGTTTGCCCTTAGTGGAACTATCATTTATTTTTCAACAGGACAATGACCCAACACACCTCCAGGCTGTGTAAGGGCTATTTGACCAAGAAGGAGAGTGATGGAGTGCTGCATCAGATGACCTGGCCTCCACAATCACCCGACCTCGTAGTTTTTATGTTTTCACTATTATTCTACAATGTAGAAAAGGTGTCCAAACCTTTGACTGGTAGTGTATAGACACACATGCATACAAGTCCATAATACAAAGGTATGATTAAAGTACAGGAGCATCAACATTTTTACTTTTCCATTATACTATGTGAAAATGTCCTTAGAATAAAACCACAGGATTGTAAGGGTCTAAAAGGCCAGACTATAGAACAGGGAGCTGGAGGGAAAGGCCACTAGATGGGGGGGATTTAAAGCACCAGTTACAGAAAACACTTCAATACTAATAGTTAATTCATCCTGATGTGTGGAGAGTTTTTAGATTCTGCCTGGAGAAGACTAAGCTGAAGATGACCACCCCTATGTGAAGGTTTATCTGCTGTAGAGCACAGAAGGACATGGAGGAGACGGGGTGACCGGCCTCTGAGAAATGACCTGCAATAGGAGGAGACGGGGTGACCGGCCTCTGAGAAATGACCTGCAATAGGAGGAGACGGGGTGACCGGCCTCTGAGAAATGACCTGCAATAGGAGGAGACGGGGTGACCGGCCTCTGAGAAATGACCTGCAATAGGAGGAGACGGGGTGACCGGCTCTGAGAAATGACCTGCAATAGGAGGAGACGGGGTGACCGGCCTCTGAGAAATGACCTGCAATAGGAGGAACGGGGGTGACCGGCCTCTGAGAAATGACCTGCAATAGGGGGAGACAGGGTGACCGGCCTCTGAGAAATGACCTGCAATAGGAGGAGACGGGGTGACCGGCCTCTGAGAAATGACCTGCAATAGGAGGGACGGGGTGACCGGCCTCTGAGAAATGACCTGCAATAGGAGGAGACGGGGTGACCGGCCTCTGAGAAATGACCTGCAATAGGAGGAGACGGGGTGACCGGCCTCTGAGAAATGACCTGCAATAGGGGGAGACGGGGTGACCGGCCTCTGAGAAATGACCTGCAATAGGAGGAGACGGGGTGACCGGCCTCTGAGAAATGACCTGCAATAGGAGGAGACGGGTGACCGGCCTCTGAGAAATGACCTGCAATAGGAGGAGACGGGGTGACCGGCCTCTGAGAAATGACCTGCAATAGGAGGAGACGGGGTGACCGGCCTCTGAGAAATGACCTGCAATAGGGGATTTAGGGTCATTTTTCCTTGCAGCACTCTTGTGTTCTATAATGCGTGTTGTTATCAGTCTACGTATTGAGTACTGCATGGACAAGAGACAAGGTATATGGCGTTAGAAGGAACTGTTTGATGGTTTACCAGTGGCAGAGCTACTAAATTCACTCTATTGTGTTTATAAGAGTCACTACAAGCCGCACAACTACGGTAGAAACCGGTCACAACTACGGTAGAAACCGGTCACAACTACGGTAGGGGTAGAAACCGGTCACAACTACGGTAGGGGTAGAAACCGGTCACAACTACGGTAGGGGTAGAAACCGGTCACACTACGGTAGGGTAGAAACCGGTCACAACTACGGTAGAAACTGGTCACAACTACGGTAGGGGTAGAAACCGGTCACAACTACGGTAGGGGTAGAAACCGGTCACAACTACGGTAGGGGTAGAAACCGGTCACAACTACGGTAGGGGTAGAAACCGGTCACAACTACGGTAGGGGTAGAAACCGGTCACAACTACGGTAGGGGTAGAAACCGGTCACAACTACGGTAGGGGTAGAAACCGGTCACAACTACGGTAGGGGTAGAAACCGGTCACAACTACGGTAGGGGTAGAAACCGGTCACAACTACGGTAGGGGTAGAAACCGGTCACAACTACGGTAGGGGTAGAAACCGGTCACCTCGTCCGGTCGTCCATCATTCCTTTTTGGGGGGACTTAAGTGTCAGCCCGAACGATGAAATCCCTGACATTCCTTTCCTTGTAGTGCGAGAAGAGAGGAGGGTCAGAGAAAACCTTTTGGCAAAGCAGGATCAGCCATGAGGACCTCCCAATGTGTCTTCACTCACGTCTGGATGTGATGTCATCACTCACGTCTGGATGTGATGTCATCACTCACGTCTGGATGTGATGTCATCACTCACGTCTGGATGTGATGTCATCACTCACGTCTGGATGTGATGTCATCACTCACGTCTGGATGTCATGTCATCACTCACGTCTGGATGTCATGTCATCACTCACGTCTGGATGTGATGTCATCACTCACGTCTGGATGTGATGTCATCACTCACGTCTGGATGTCATGTCATCACTCACGTCTGGATGTCATGTCATCACTCACGTCTGGATGTGATGTCATCACTCACGTCTGGATGTGATGTCATCACTCACGTCTGGATGTCATCACTCTAGTCTGGATGTGATGTCATCACTCTAGTCTGGATGTCATCACTCACGTCTGGATGTGATGTCATCACTCTAGTCTGGATGTGATGTCATCACTCTAGTCTGGATGTCATCACTCTAGTCTGGATGTGATGTCATCACTATGTAGTGGTGCAGACACATGGATGGGTTTTTAACTGTTGTAACGGCTGTAACGTAACAACATTTGGAAAAAGTCAAGGGGTCTGAATACTTTCCGAAGGCACTGTATATACTGTATTCTAGTCAAACCCATCCTATTCAACTATCCTAATCCTACGTATTCTTCAGATATACTATATATTCTATCCACATACTGTCCATAATGGCTATACATACCATCATCAATGTTCCCTCAAAAAAAAAATAGGCACTGAGCACATTTCAGGCCTGCTGAACCAGAAATTCTGTGCAACTTCCAGCTCACGTTTACTGCGAACACTGAGGCTGTACCCGCTTTAAGTTACAGTTTTAACAGTGGCCAAGTAGGCTACTGTGGCTATTTGATCATAATGTAGGCCTACCAGAGTGGCCTACCATTAAAAACTATGGAGAAAACGCATCCCATAACATTTTAACATGGAAATAGCTGTTCTATCGTTCAGCCTACAGTAGCAGCCAATGGGTGGTGTTCAATGTAGACTTTTGATAAAAACATGCAGGGCTTGACATGAACCTGTTCATCCACTTGTCCTTCAGACAAGGAGGTGACTGAAAATGTTGTTGTTTGATGCAAGAAACCACTTTACAAAATAAAATGCATTATTATTCCCATACCATTATTACAGAGAATCAGTCAAATTATGCTACCCTCTGCCTATTGGCTACTTAGCTTCAAGCCTGTCTCAAAATACAACACTGCCCCTTTAAGACAAAAAAAAGCTATTTTCCTGACTGGCTTTTCAAAGATGTCTAGAAGTGTAGATGTCTTGTGCTCTTGTAGGAAGCAATCCCTCCCCTATTGCTGACTACAGATGATCTATGACTGGGATAATAACTCACTAACTAGCAAAGGATATGAACAAATGTACAAATGTGCACACGTCGCTACATGTTCAGTCAGCCTCCTTCACTCATGCTGCCAAACATGCCCTCGTAAAACTGACTATCCTACCGATCCTTGACTTCGGCGATGTCATTTATAAAATAGCCTCCAACACTCTACTCAGCAAATTGGATGTAGTCTATCACAGTGCCATCCGTTTTGTCTCCAAAGCCCCATACACTACCCACCACTGTGACCTGTACGCTCTTGTTGGCTGGTCCTCACTACATGTTCGTCGTCAAACCCACTGGCTCCAGGCCATCTATAAATCACTGCTAGGCAAATCCCCGCCTTATCTTAGCTCATTGGTCACCATAGCAGCACCCACCCGTAGTCTGCGCTCCAGCAGGTATATCTCACTGGTCATTCCCAAAGCCAACACCTCCTTTGGCCGCCATTCCTTCCAGTTCTCTGCTGCCAATGACTGGAACGAATTGCAAAAATCTCTGAAGCTGGAGACTCTTATCTCCCTCAATAACTTTAAGCATCAGTTGTCAGAGCACCTTACCGATCACTGCACCTGTACACAGCCCATCTGAAATTAGCCCACCCAACAACCTCATCCCTATATTGTTATTTAATTTGCTCTTTTGCACCCCAGTATCTCTATTTGCACATAATCTCTTGCACATCTAGCATTCCAGTGTTAATACTATTGTAATTATTCTGCACTATAGCCTATTTATTGCCTTACCTCCATAACTTGCTACATTTGCACACACTGTATATATATTTTCTGTTGTATTTCTGACTTTATGTTTTTTTTTACCCCATATGTAACTCTGTGTTGTTTTTGTTGCACTACTTTGCTTTGTCTTGGCCAGGTCGCAGTTGTAAATGAGAACATGTTCTCAACTGGCTTACCTGGTTAAATAAAGGTGAAATAAAATAAAAAATAAAAATAAATAAAAATGTAGCTCTTGCTTTGATCTCAAAACAAGCACATCTACCCACGACCGCTGATGCTGTAAAAACAGTCCAGTTCAACGTGAATGGCACAGATCCATATATGGCAATGGTCTATTTGCATATAGGCCTACTGCAGCTCTGATTGGTTATGCTGCACCGGTCTGTGTAGAGTAGGGGCTGAGACATGTAGCTAGCTAGCTAAATCCTACTCCGATGAGTACGGGCTGAGTCCGGCCTGTCAATGCAATAGAATCCTACTCCCACACGTTCTGCCTACAACAAAACCTCTTGTATAGTTAGTTTTGCATACTAAGTCTTACACGTTTGGGTATGTTGCATTGAAAATAGCAAATTTTGTGTTGATTCGATCACAATTCCAACAGTAAAGGGAAACGTTGATAGTGTTAACTAACTGGGAAAACTCTAGAAAGTTGAGTGAAGTTCACTCTCGTGCTTCTCTGCTGATATTTCTTTTGCTCGGCAGTCCCAGGTGGGCTGCGCACCCACACGTAGTTTAGAGGGAACATTGGTATTAAGTAAAGATGGCTAATGGCTATGGCTAATCTCGGCTATGAACTTGATAGATAGACAACATCAATATATATTTTCCACATAAGTACAGTATATATTGGGAGAAAGGGTTATTGTTCCAAATGAACTTATCTTCCAGATAACCCATAAATAAACATGCATAGTCAGTAGAGAAAATGGGGCCCATAGGATGTAGGATCCGGTCAACATATTGGGAAATGGCCGTGCAGGGGGCTTCTCTATTGATTTGTGGACCTTAATTCCCGAAAGCTGAAAATGTCCCAGTTCTTCCATGGCCTGCATACTCACCAGACATATTTACATTTACATTTAAGTCATTTAGCAGACGCTCTTATCCAGAGCGACTTACAAATTGGTGCATTCAACTTAGGATAGCCAGTGGGACAACCACTCATTTTATTTTTTATTTTATTTTTAATGGGGGGGGGGGGGGGGGGGTAGAAGGATGACTGTTATACTATTCCAGGTATTCCTTAAAGAGGTAGGGTTTCAAGTTTCTCCGGAAGGTGGTCAGTGACTCCGCTGTCCTGGCGTCATGGGGGAGCTTGTTCCACCATATCACCCATTGAGCATGTTTGGGATGCTCTGGATCTGAACTAAAAATGGGTGATGACAACTTGGATATCTCTCTCATCACCCTATATGTTTCTTCATATACTAATGTAACAAATGTCAAAGGACTGGAGGCTTTAAAGTTATTTTTGAAACAAAGAGGGAACACAACGTCATCTACTGGCTTTCTGTTACCTGGCAACAATCCTTCGGTACAATAACTACTTTTGGAGTGGCTATGAGCTCCATTTTCTCTCCTGACTATGCCATTTTATTTATCGGTTATCTGGAAGATACAGTAAGTTCATTTCGCACAATAACCCTTTCTCCCAACGTATACTTACATTTTACAGTTTAGTCATTTAGCAGACTTATGTGGAAAATATATATTGATGTATAGGATTCACTATCTTTTCACCAACAACTAAACACAACTCAACCCAACACTGAGTAAATACAATAGACGCTTGGAAAAAGTTGTAGTCAGTCGGTCAGTAAGTCAATCCAATCCGCCAACAGATCTCCAGCGGAGAAAGGCCACGGAGAACAGCTGATACCAATGGAGATTTGTAGTTGTCCAACAATAGAAATGAGTGGATCCGATCGTTGTTAATCTTACGACACGGCTACAATGCTGTTATATACAACAAAACGGTCTAAACTGAGGGTTTGGCTTCCTCAATCACACCACCGCCACCATCTTTGTGCAGCTGATGCTATTTAATAAGGAATTAAAGGGGAAGCACAGCATCGGGAGGAGAAGCACAGACAAATTCGGGGCCGTCACATACCCCCTCCGCCGGAAAAAGCCGACCATTGCCATGAGAAAAATCTACTCCTCACTTTCCCCTTCAAAGATAATGACTTTGCAGTGCTCACTCTCCTCAGTGAGCCTGAGAGACTTCTGGGAATCGGAAAGTCCTCTCTTAAGACCTTCATCGGGTAATCAGCGGGGGAGGCATTAGATAAGCAACAGCTTCAGTGACTCCGGACTCGTTCAAGCAGGGAGATCTGGACTCAGGGTCAGCTTGCAAGGTGCTCCAGATCGTCAGCTCTGAGGGGTGATCAGGGACCAGGCAGTTGAGGGATGAAGTGGCTCAAGTCATTCAGGGACCTGTCGTTCACTCTGCAGGGACTCCAGTACTGTTCAGCAGGGCAGATCCAGTGGACTCCAGGTCACTCCAGGGGACCAGTTGGCTCGGTTAGCTTGCAGGGGAGACTCCAGTGGACAGGTCAGATGCAGGAGGTAGACCCATGACTCAGGTCACTCTGCCAGGGAACTCCAGGGGACTCAGGTAGCTGCAGGGAGACTCCATTGCTCAGGTTCCTCTGCAGGGGACTCCATGGACTCAGGTTCAGTTGAGGGAACTCCAGGATCTCATTCAAGCTCTGCAGGGGAGACTCATGGACTCAGGTTCAGCCTGCAGGAGCCATGGAGTACTCAGGTCATCACTGCAGGGGGATCCAGTGGACTCGGTTCACTCTGCAGGAGAGCTCAGGGACTGGGTTTCATCTGCAGGGACTCAGTGGACAGTTACTCTGGTTCATGCGCGGTGACTCCAGGACCTCAGGTCAGCTGTGCGGGTGACCCATGGATCTAGGTTCCTCTGCGGGTGGACTCCAGACTCAGGTTCAGCTCTGCAGGGGTGACTCCAGTGGACTCAGGTTCAGCTCTGCAGGGGTGACTCCAGTGGACTCAGGTTCAGCTCTGCAGGGGTGACTCCAGTGGACTCAGGTTCAGCTCTGCAGGGGTGACTCCAGTGGACTCAGGTTCAGCTCTGCAGGGGTGACTCCAGTGGACT